CTCGTTGAATATCTCTTGCACCCTAGCCACCTATGTCTGCCGCCCTCGCCCCCGTCCCTAAACACCCGCTAGATAAACAGACCGTACCTCTACCCACACTATTACTTGGACAGACAAAGTAACAGACAAACATTTATCTGTATTCAACTAATGTTACAAGTGACAACGTTCCCATCCAACTCTGAAACACCCATGGCCGAATTTCGAAACCAGCCTCGTTGAAAACTCCCCTGACCCTAGTTTAACTTTGCCTCACCGATTCCAAAACAGTCCTGTACCAAACACCCATGCACCAACTTTGAAACCTGTCTTGTTGAAAACAAAGACCGTCCCACTCTAGTGTAAACTCTACCCCGACCAACTCCGAAACATGGATTTGAAACACGCCTCGGTGAAACCCAAACTCCCCCGACGCTAGTTTAAACTCTTCCCTCATCACTTCAAAAACATCCCTGTACCAACTTTGAAACACGCCTCGGTGAAACCCAAACTCCCCCGACACTAGTTTAAACTCTACACCAATCGATTCCAAAACATGCCTGTAACAACTTTGAAACCGGCCTCGGTGAAAACAAAAACCATCCCACCGTAGTATAGACTCGGCCCCTAACACTTCCAAAACATGCATGTACTAACTTTGAAACCACCCTCGGTGAAAACTTCACCGACCCTAGTATGGACTCTACACCTACCGATTCCAAAACACGCATGTTCCGAGTTCAAAACCAACCTTCACCGACACTAGTATGAACTCGACTACCAACAATTCCTAAACATGCATGTTCCGAGTTCAAAACCAACCTTCACCGACACTAGTATGAACTCGGCTACCAACAATTCCCAAACATGCATGTACCAACTTTGCAACCTGCCTCAGTGTTAACAAAACTCCCGACCCTAGTATGAACTCGACTGCCAACAATTCCTAAACATGCATGTCCCAACTTTGTAACCTGCCTCGGTGAAAACTTCACCGACCCTAGTATGGACTCTACACCTACCGATTCCAAAACATGCATGTTCCGAGTTCAAAACCAACCTTCACCGACCCTAGTATGAACTCGGCTACCAACAATTCCAAAACACACATGTTCCGAGTTCAAAACCAACCTCGGTGAAAACTTCACCGACCCTAGTATGAAGACGGCCCCTAACAATTCCAAGGATGCATGTACGACCTTCGAAACCACCCTCGGTGTAACCAAAACACCTCCGTCCCTAGTGTAAACTCTGCCGCATCCAACTCCTAAACATCCATGGTCCGAGTTCAAAACCAACCTCGGTGAAAACTCCCACGACTCTCGTATAAACTCTCTACCTAACAATTCTAAAACATGGATGTACTAACTTCGAAACATCCCTCTGTGTTAACAAAACTCCCCCGACCCTACTATAGGCTCGACCCCTAACAATTCCAAAACATGTATGGTCTAGCTTCGAACCCTGCCTCGGTGAAAACGTCACAGACTCTAGTTGAACGGTGCCCCAAGCCAACTCCAAACCTTCCCTGGGCACCCGAATAAAAATACCTCACCCAGCCCCTAATCAATAAAAATTATTGATTTGTACTTTAGAGTGATTAGATTGTATGATATGTATGCTAACGTCATATCATATTTAGTTTTTACGTCATTATATTGGTGAACTTTAAATGTAGACATTTTAAACGGTGTGTCATTTGACACGACGTACTATAACGTTGTTGTTTTTTAAAACTCGAAGTTTATAATCTTAAGCAAATTTTTACTAAGGTGATCAAAAATTAAGATGACAATGTAAGATATAGAAAAAGAAAATACATTGAGTGGTGAAAATAAAAAATTGTAATTAGACATAACGTCTTATGTATAAGTAAACTTTCTTAAAAATTAAAGAAGTTCAAGTCAAAAAGAAGTTTGATGAAAACTGTAATACTAAAGCGAACATGGGAAGGTAATCTGCTTGAGGTTAAACATCGCCATGTTTTCAAATATCGCGATGCAAGTCACGTTCTCTCCCCTCTTACTTAGTAATCGCCTCCTCTACCCATTGTTTACAAGACTCTTACAAAGAAAAAATATCCCACCCCTCTACTTGAGACATAAACTACAAAAGTGTATTGTGCCTTGTCGTCACATGAAACAAAAATGGTGGCGTCTAATGTTGTTAACCCTTGTCTTCCTAAATTATTTTTAACTTGTTAAAGAAATTGACTGTTTAGTTAAGGATTCTGACGCGCAATTTTTTTCACAAGGGATGATACTCGTGGCTGTAAACAAGTCTGTTCTAATTTTAGAACAGTTGTCTTTCCTCTCGTTTCTCTATTAGGGAAGACATGTGGGGAAGACACACGATACGTCTTTTAAAATGTAAACAAACGTGCACAAGGTGCACTTAAAATAAACCCCGCTGTGAAAATGGCAACGGCCTGGTGACACTTTTTGGAAAACACGCTTTCATGTTAATAAAATAAGGGTCGCTTTTGTTGTCGCCATGATAATGTATACCTATAAGTTCTCTCCGCCTTTACCGACCTAGTATGAATTTCGCGCGCGCGCGTGTGTGTGTGTGTGTGTGTGTGTGTGTGTGTGTGTGTGTGTACGTGTATCTCAAAAAAGTGTATCATGTCAACACCTGGACAACCAGTCATAGTCAACAAGGCCTACTTCATTACAGATCTATAGGAAATCCCTCTTTACCTGTACTTACATTAGGAAAAGTAAACTCGTTTGAATAAAAAAATGTATTTAAATATATAGAGTTATAGAACCTTAAAGTTAACAGATGCTGAAAAAATAAAATAAAAAATTAAAATTAAAATCCGCCTCCTCACCCACCTCACTCAGGTGGTAGAGTCTTTTAGTATATATCCTTTACTCCTACTCGTGTCCCCCCCTTCACCCACCTTCTCCACCTTCACCCACCTTTCACCCTTCACCCACCTGATAAGACCGTCACCCGTCTGCTTACACCCCTTCACCCATGTTACTATAAGCGAGTATGTATTGAACATTTGTTAATATTTCCCCCTTCACCCACCTGTTCACACCGTCACCCGCCTGCTTACACCCCTCACCCATGTTACTATAAGCGACTATGTATTGAACATTTGTTAAATTTATCTGGCTCAGGGTGGTCAAATGGTGGTCAGATCAAAAGAAAATCGGAACGGTCATAAAAAACTTAATTACTTTTCCAGACTTGTAAAAAACATGTCTACCCCCGCATACCTTACGTACCAACGCACTAAGTCGCCCCTGTCGCCCATTAAAAAGCACGAACCTACCGAGACCTCGTTTCGTCTCAAAACCTGATTTAACGTTGGTTGAAAGAAAATTAAAATTCCGACCCTTAAATATATTTTGTTTTCGTTGACCCTCGCTATAAGCGAATAGTTACAACCATTAATCTTTCATACATAGCAAGGGACGGTTCGTAGGACATGTGGAAACAAAAATTTTTAATTTGATCAAAGAATGACCGGGCGTACGATATGTGAACATAGTTCATGGACAGCTGTAATCTAATGAAAAAAGCCGAGAGCCGTGACTAATTACAGCACCAGCTGTTACCTAAGGGCTTCACGGAGCTGACAAATCGATCGGTTTTCGCTGACCTCGCTATAAGCGAATAGTTACCGATGTCGCTACACTTAACGTGGAGAGGCACTTAATGTACGTCGTTAATCATCATGACCTATCAACCCGAGTGGGGAAAAATCACTGATGCATAACAAAAATTTAATTAGGTGTGATGGCCCCGTGGGTGCGATCAATATTAGCTCGCCCGTTGTTTGACAAAAACAAAAGGATTGCAGATCGATAAGTAACACATGTTGCACGGTTGGTTAATGGATGTTATTCACAAAGTACACGCTAACGCACCCCTACCCTCAAACCCCATCATTACTCCCCCTCTCATCCACCAACACCCCTATCCGTTTACTATTAAACATACATACAATCAAATAAACAGTGTCTTTTATTTTAAATACCATACATCAAAGAAAAGAAATATATCAAATAAATAAATAAACAAAAGTAATTAAAATCAAATTACGTAACTAGTTAATAATAATTTAACTAATTATAAAATAAAATAAAATTAAAAATAAAAAAAATAAAAATAATTAAAAAGTAAACAAATAATCAAATTAAATTAATAATTTTAAAAAATTTAAAAATTTAAAAAAATTTAAAAAATTAAAATCCAATTACGTAACTCGTTAATAAAAATTACACAATATAAACAAAGTAATTAAATTAAACAACAAGTAAACAAACAAATTAAACAAAATAAAAATACAATCAAAGTAATTAAATTACGTAACTCGATAATAAAAATTAATTAAAAATTTAAAAACTCATTAAAACTCATTAAAAAAACGCATTAAAATTACGTAACTAGGTCAAAAATTAATTAAAATTTAAAAATTAAATTCAAACTAATTAAAAACTCATTAAAATTACGTAACTAGGTCACCTGCGGTGATTACGTCACAAGGTCACCACCGGTGACCTACTGACCTACTGACCTACTCCCCATCCGCATCCCTGCGCATCCTCCCCATCCCCATCCGCATCCCCATCCCCATCCCCATCCGCATCCCCATCCGGAGTATTTTACTATATCTCATTGTACCTGCGGTCTGCGCCTGCGCCTGCGGCTGGAGTATTTTACTATATCTCGTTGTACCTGCGGTCCCCCTCCCCATCCGAGTATTTTACTATATGTCGTTGTACCTGCGGCGCCTGCGCATCTCCCTGCGCATCCGAGTATTTTACTATATATCCTTTGCGCATCCTGGGTGCGCCTGCGCCTGCGCCTGCGGTCCAAAAGTGACCTAATATACTACTTATATTGTTGCAGAATAAACTCTTTCCCATGAAATATGACAAAAATAAAGAGTATTAGTATAACTAGTTTGTATTTGCGCAATTTTCTGTTTGCGCATTTTTCAGTTTTCTCATTTTTCCGGGCACCACATAAAAGTACCTAACTTTATCTTGTCTTGTTGACAGTTGTATCGTCTGCTCCACGGGAAGAGGACCAAGCGACGTTTCATGCTTGTCACCATCGGCTGGGTGATGCCCATGCTGGTAGTGGCGACCACAGCGGTGGTGTCCGGAGACGGCTACGGGGACGAACGATTGTAAGTTGGGGAAGTTGTGTTTTCTCACTTCATCTACTATCGTATCCAATCTATAGTCTATACACTCAACATTACCTGAGGCACCCCCCCCCCCCCTTCTCCCTCGCAACACATCCAATCTTAAAATAAATTAAATGCATTATTATTCCTGTGGACTCCTTGTGGAACATAAATATGCGACCACACCTCCCCATAGTACGCTATTTTGGCCGATTCTTCCAAGTTGCGCCCACGACATTCTGGATGTTTGTGCTTCACTGACAACTGATCTTTTCCAAGTTCTTAGGCTTACTTATTTTCCTCTTTCCTGTGGGATTCCAATCTAGTGACTATCTAGTGATTTTATTAGTTGGTTTACGCAAGGTGTGTCTAATCCATCCCCATTAAATTGAAAGTAGTTCTACATTATTTTTGACATTTGAGAACGTATTAAGTAAAATGACTTTGTATCGTCTTAAATCGAAACTTAAATTGAGTGGTAATTTTGATGTGAGCCTTGTTAGACTATATCGATACACAATCGTGAATTTTAACCCCGCCCCCACCATATCACCCAGGAGATATTATTTAAAACTGTATAATATAAGATAAAACAAGGTAATTAAAAAGTCTAGTGACAATTTTAGCGTAATTTCCTTATGTTATCTAAAAATAGCTCTGTCGTAGCGTAAATCAAGAGCAGGGTTAGTAAAACCATTGGTTAAAATACATGTTTTATTTACAATAGAGTTACATGACTAAAAACCATTGCGCGCCTAGCTACTGAACGTGATGACGCAGCCATTGAACGTGATGGCGCAGCTGTTGCACGTGATGACGCGTGTGGTGTGGTTGGATAAACATGCCTACTAATTCGGTCCAAATTTTAATTAATTCAAAAATTTTTTTGTGACCGAACGAAAGGATATTTTTGAAAACTTTCTTCGGCAATATTGTTCTAAATTATGGCAGGAATCGATTGGTACATGTTTCAAGTCGCTAAGTGGTCTGGTTGCCGAGATATGGGCAAAAAAAACGGCTTTTTTCGAAGTTTTTTGGCTTTTCCGGGAAATCCATGAAAGAAACCCGGAATTTTTGTGGCCTATGTTCATCCTCGTAACTTGCTTAACATAATTGCTTTGGAACTAGTCCTCGATATTGCTTCGTTGAGGAGGAGATACGACTTAAAGCTGCGGACACACATCCATTCATTCATACATTCATACATCCAGAAATGACGGGTTAATAAACGCAATTCTCCAGAATGGAAATTGCGCTAAAAAGTATAGAGTAGAGTATTATAAATGAGTTACTTCCAATAGTCTAAAGAATACAATAATTGGGAAAACAAAAGAAATCACCAAAGAAAAGTTTTGATTACAGAGAATTGTTAATAACCTTTGTCGTAACTGCTGTCAAAACTTGTTATTTTTCCCTGATGTAAAGGCTGTAAATTTATTGTTTTTGATAGTGTATGTTGTAGTCTAAACATGTTAATTTACTGTTGGTGTTAACTATTTTCAAAATATTTTATTTTTCTGTTGTTAACTACGTTAATTTACTTTTGCAGATGGTGTAAAATATTTCCCAAATATGTTAATTTAATGTTGTAGATATCGTTAACTACTTTCAAAATATGTTATTGATGTAGTCTAACTACGTTAATTTACTTTTTCAGATGCTGGCTTAGTATTGCCAACGGATCGGTTTGGGCCTTCATTGGGCCCGTGTGTCTTATTGCCTCGGTAAGTTTTCAATTTATGGATGTACCTCCTGTATCTTAATTTTTATAAATCATATACAATTATAAGAAAAAAATACATAAAAAACGTTCATGGAAAAAAGATATTTTTTTTTTTAGAATAACCTCAATAATAATCTTAATAAAATTGTTCTGGCAGTTGGCCCAGGACCAAGAACTCTGGCTATACACTATCAAGAGTTACGGGAAATTAAAATTTAATAAATAAGGCCAATACCTAATTATTTTTTTTTTTTTTACAGATAAACTTGCTTGTGCTTCTTCAAGTTTTATTTGTCCAATATCGACATGATGCTAAAAAAGACCTTCCCATGGTTTTACGCATCAGGTATGCTTATGTAATATAAATAATAACGAAAACTGCCTTTTAATATATAATTGTCCCATGCATTAGGAATGATGCTGATCATTTTAGGTCAGTTCACCAGAGTACGTTTACCGCCCACCTTCGAATGAAATAGAATTTATATCGAATTCCTTTATTTAACGTGTCCAACCCCCCCCCCCCTTTTCGGAAAATTTAGTCCGCCCCCCCCCCTCCTCCAGAAAGTTTCAAGTCCCCCCCCCCCCGTTCCGATGAAAAGGTCTGGATAAAACACTGCTTATTACTTAGTAGAGATGTAAGTTAGCTTTTTCTTTATACAGTTTGAGTTTGTAATTTGCATGTATTTTACTCACTGCCCAGAAACCTGTTCTCCACGATGGTCACCCAGCTTCCGGTCACCAACGTCACGTGGCTGTTAGGACTTGTACCGCCATCTTACGTCAGCTTCCAGTATATTTTTGTATTGTTCAATGCCTCCCAGGTGAGTTTATAATTTTGTAAAAGGGATTGTTAACTTATTATGATAAAAATAAACCGGGAGTGATCTCCCCTAAACTTTCTCGAATATCTATAATATAACGCTGCTGGTAGTGTGTCAGTCCTTCCTTCCGTCATCGCTATAGATTTTGGAACCATAAAAGTAAACATTCGCACCACGCAGTGCTTTTCAGTGCACCGCAGTGTCTTATTATAAGTATTAGAGTAGGGTTTGTTTATATAGCGGCATAGAGCTATTTTATAATTGCCACGGTTTTTACTCTTTCGCATAACGTCAAGAAAATATTAAATACACGCACATTGCTAAAACATATTAAAAGGATCAATGTCAAATATCATTTTCGTTAATATTCCTAGAAAAAGTGGATACATTTTAATAACATAATAACAGTACGGTAGAAAAAATCAAATTAATTTAACTATTTTTTTCTAATTTTGACAAAGGAGGTAATTTAAAAATACATTAAACTCACGCTAATAAAAAATGTGAATGCAAATATACGTTCGTCATAGAAGGAATTAGTGTTGCAATAATATAATTAGCAAAATGTGAATGCAAATTATTCGGATGTGTAAGAGGAAATTATAGTTAGAAAATTATAATTAGCATGGATTGATAAAAGGCAATCTTTTGTTTATTTTATTCACTGAATGTAGGCCCTACCGTTTATTACTTATAATTTTTAATCAACTATTCAGCACTATTATAGACGCGTCATCACGTTCATTAGGTGCGCATTGGTTTTAGTTATGAAACTCTATTGTAAATTTTAAAAATTTAAAGTACTGGAAAAAAATGCGTGAATGGATAAAGTGAAATATTGTAGGTAAAACACGGATATTTTAAATACTGCCTATTATTTATGCTGATTTCAAATTATTATTCTATCTTTTGGTTTTATAGGAGAGGCGTAGCGAGGGGGGCATATGTCCCCGGGTGCCGACCTTAGGGGGCGCCAAAGTGGGTTGGAAAAAATTTGCGAGGGGGGGGTGGTGGAAATCGAAAGTTTTAGGGCGGGGGGGGGGGGGGGAGGGGGGAAGGGGTACAAATCGAAAGTTTGAGGGGGGTGCAAATCACCGGAAAGGGCGCGATTTGGCGCTACGGGCTAGACTGTGAGCAATATGCCTGTATGATTGCATTTAAATTGTGTTTATGTTATGAGTTTATGTTGAGTGTTGTGTTTGTTTTTTCGTTTTTGTTTTTTCTTTGCGTTCGTTTGTGTTGTATTTAGTTTTGTTCTGTTCCCAACTTGGTACATTTAAAAAAGATTTACCGTGTGTTGTGGTTGTGGTTGTGTTGTGGTTGTGGTTGTGTTGTGGTTGTGTTGTGGTGGTGGTTGTGTTGTGGTTGTTTTGTGGTTGTGTTGTGGTTGTGTTTTGTTTGTGTTTGTGTTGTGTTTTTGTTTGTTTTGTTCTGTTGCAAAGTTGGTACATTTAAAAAAGATTTACCGTGGCGGAGCACGGGATGCAGCTAGTTCTTATATAACTTGGAATGTAGACATGATTTTTAATTGGGTGTTGCAGTAATACTTTGCTATATAACATGCTATTTTTCAAAAAATTATATAAATTAATTGGCAAGCGCTAAAATTATGTTTTAGCTGTCAAAAATTAAAACAAAATATTAAGTATCGATTTCTACGTGTTTTGAATTTTTTACTTCAAGAGAAACTATTGAAAATAATTTTTGAAATAATTAATAATATTAATTCATTAATCCATTCCAAGTTTTGGAAAAACTTCCGCCAGGGAGAGATTAAATTTTCCAAACTAAATGAATTATTGTGATGATGATTCCCATTGATAAAAAAAACATGGCGGCTGCTTGTTTCTTGACTTCGCTTCAGCATTTTAAACTCATCATGAACTCCCAATATGCAACAAATATACAAAATTTCAAGTCTATTGTGTACGTACGGTTGGGAAGTAATGTATTTGCATTCACTTCTGACAGAAAAGTTTTGTGGCGGTAAGTAAATTAATTATTTTTTAAAGTTAATGTAAGACCTAGCAAGCCTAGTCCCAGGGGACATTACTCCTACTGGACGATTTGGTAAACAGTAAACAAACGTTTATCAAGTTCGACTTTACTCTTTACTTCAGCATATTGCAACTAGATCTAATAGTAATAGTAATAGTACTAATAGATCTCAATCTACCTGATCCTAAATCTGTTCTTTATACTTCCTTAACTATACTAATCCCTCTAAATAAAAAATGACAGTGATTAGGCCTAGATTTTTTTAGTGTGTGTTTGTAGTTTGTAGAGAAGAGATCTAAGTTAGTAAAGTTACTAGATCTAGAATCTAAGTACTAAGTAGTGACTTCGACTAGTCTAAGTGTAGACTGTAGACTACTGAGGATGTTAGTGTAGTTCACTTGAGCGTAGTTACTGAGTGTAATAAATTAAAATGTTAATAATATAGATCTATGACCTAATGATAATTAATAAATAATTAATTATAATTCTAGATCCAGTGAGTAGGTCTGTGAGTCTTTAATTTTTTTTTCTAAATCTAGCTAGTTAACAACAGTGCTAAATCTAGTTAGTAACTAGAGAAATCTAGATCTAGAATTATTTAGTTTAGTAATTTAGTAGGTAATAATTGTAATAATATTAATAAAATTAAAATGTTGACATCTGTTGCTACTGCGAACCTATCTAGATTTGATTTAAGAAGTAGATTTAAAGTTTAGTTGACTGCTAAAGATTAAGAAAGTCTGCTACTAACTAGAGTAGTAGGTATATGGTTACTTAGAAATCTAGATGTAGCAAGTATATGTGTAAATCTAGCAAGACCCAGTTATTTTGTAGGCATTGAATTATGGTTATTAGATCTAGAGTTTGGATTTAGTAATAGATTTGTCAATATTGACCTGAAGTTATAGATTTAATGGCTAGTTTTAATTGCAATTTTATTTATATTTTTGATACGCTTGATAATGTAAACTATGATTATAAGACAAAATTTTAAGTATAAATATTGTGTGTAAATTAAATCTATTTTTCAGAATACCTGAATGAAATCAGTGCATATAGACCTCTAGTAAATACAGAAGAAAGTACCCTACACATGTTCCAGGCAACCTTAACTAAGACTATCAACAAAACACAGGAAATCAAAATGTGTTTTAGAATGAAGACTTCATCTGAGTCTGCAATTTGTGAATAACAATATTTGATACAAGAAAAAATGTCCCTGAAATTATGGGACAAATATTACATTAAATAAAGTGCCTTTATCTTTCTTTACATGCTTAATAAATTATTAATTTATTTAATAAAAATTGAGCTTGTCTTAATCATTGAATTTGTTTATTGATTGTAATTGTTATTGTTAGTGTATGAAAATATTGTAAACTACAGTGAGAGTTGTAAAGTTCATGTTTCTAGCCTGTTGGTTCATGGATCAGACTGCAATGAGTTCACCTGTTTCTGTGACTTTGGCATATGAAGCGATGATGTGAGTTAGGTACCCCTCATTGCTGGGTGCACTCAGGGACTTTTTACTGACTTAAACCTCAATTCAACTTGATACTGTTGGGTTAGCAGTCTAGCGCCAGTGTGTTTTGCTTCATATAAAATTTGCAAGTTAAAAACACTGTTTAGTATCCTCAATCACTACAGCTTTTCAAAATTATTGAACTAACACACACACAAAGAACGTATTAAAACAACACTCAATACAAATAAAATAAATGTTAATGCTTGATCAAAATAAAAGAATTTATTTAGGATATATCAATATATATTTTTACAATGACCTACAAATACTAAATTGGGATTCATTGGTCAAGCAGTAGAGCACACAATTGCTAATCCAGAGAAGTGGTTTGAGGGCTTGAGTACATTAAGGGTAACTGGCTTGAGATACTGACTTTTAAGTGTAAACCACACAACTGTTTTATTAGCCTAAGTCAAAGAAACAAGACATTATTATTACAAGTGGAACATACTTCATCTGTGGAATGATACTTTCATTAACACTAAAAATAAATATTACATAGTGTAGACAGACACTAAAATACATGCTTACTGTAAAGCAAGAGAAATTATTCTAAAACAATGTAATATACATTAGGCCTACTACTATTTAATCATATCTGTTTATTCTGAGTGATATGGGCAGAATACTGTAATTAATAGCATATTTAATTTCTACTAAGTAGGCCTTGTATAGCAATATGAATTTAGCAATATAGATTAATTGAAGTTGATGATTTTTTTTAAATCTTGGAATTAAATTTTCAATGTTAAATTAAAAGCACAATGACAGTAACACAAAGCCAAACAAACCTTATTAAAATTAAACTAATTTATGTTAGTAACTATTAGATTAATCCAATTTTTAGGCTCACTTTGTGCTTAAATCAAAATTTTAATTTCTAGAGCTACTACTTGATATAAAATTTGATCTAGTAATACTGGTACACTATAACATGTCTATATAGCTATAACTATGTCTACGAGGACTAACTACTAAGCAGATGACTAATTAGTAATTATGGTTATTAGGCCTAGCCTACTGTGTAATAATATCTAGTTTATCTACTTCTAGATCTAGTACTAAAAAAAAAGTACTAGGAAAAGTAAAAGGAATTATTTTTAAAAATATGGCATTGATTTAAAATAGGGGCCTATTTATTAAAATGAATAAAGGCAAAGTCTTTATTACTAAAAATAGACCTAATTTAAATTTGGGGCCTATAATTAACTATGTTAATAGGATTAATACATAGGGCCTAATTACTAATTTAATTACTAATTAGGCCTAAAGTTTCTACGCAAAAGAAAGTCTAAAGAAAAATTTATGGGCCTAAATTCAAAAGTTTAGTCTAAAGGCCAAAGGTTTCTGTTTTACAAAATGTTTGTAGATCTGTAATTTGCCACTAGTGACTAAAAGTAGAGTAGGCTATTAGTTTAGTCTAGCCAATAGAAAATCTAGCTTATTATTCTATTATTACTAGCTTAAATACTACTTA